TAGTGTCGATATGTTTCTGTTGAAAAAGTCATGAGACATATGCCCCCATGAGCTCATGGTTTAGGGTTGAGGGTTTAGGGTTGAGGGTTTAGGGTCTAGGGTTTAGGGTCTAGGGCTTAGGGTCTAGGGTCTAGGGTTTAGGGTTTAGGGTTGAGGGTTTAGGGTTTAGGGTTGAGAGACTTCGCTTGCTGCTGCAGTGCGTGCCAGCCACATCACTTCAGAACTCGTATCGATACTTTTCCGGCCGGGACTTCCAGCGAGCCACTGCGTGGGCGAGGTACCGTCGCATGGCAGTTTTGCCAGCAGTAGGAGCGCCGCATCCAGAAGCCTCAGCCGGATGCCAAACAAATGCATGGTTTGAGTGGAATTAGCAATATATATGTGGAAAGCGTATGTGTCTTCAGACTGCAGGCAGAGAGCTATACTGCACATCTGCCGTATGAAATCCTCGTCAGCGAAGCAGGCATTCAGCTGAGGATTCATACGGCATCTTGCGAGCCGTTCCCACATATGGATCCAGGTGTGGATCCTTAGGCTTGCAATATTGCAAGGCAGCAGTATTTCGCAGTACTAATCTTAAGCCGGGTGCGAATGTTTAAAGCCAAGTGTCTTAGGACGTAGCTTGAAGAGCCTCTGTCCAGCGAGATGGCAACTGTATGCCAGCCAGATATACCCAACGACGAACCGATGGCAGGCTTGGATGCCTCGATCAACATCCTCTCGTGAGACAGCGTAAACTGACCTCTCGAGTATCGAGATGTTGATCGCCAAGGCTCGAGCAGCCCTCGGCGAACGGAGGGGTTGGACACAGACATATGGTCGTCGAGAGTTGACACATGAAGCTTCTGCTGCTGTTTTGCTGCTAGCTGTTTATTCGGTTTTAGCTAGCTTGTGCGAATGTGCAGAGCTAGACCCAATATAATCTTGAGACAAGCAGCATTGAGAGAACATCAGCCTGCTCTCTGTCGGAGGATGCTTGGGGCGATCTCGCGTAGGCAGGAGCTATCTCTGCCTAGGCCACACTGCATCAATGGTAAAATTCAGGGAGAGATATCTCCAGTTGCAGATAACATACTTTGCAACCAAGCTGCTAACCAAGTGCAACAGATCTTGATCTCGTAGCCCTTGGCGTTGACCGATGGAAACTTGTCATCTGACAAGGAAAACTCATCGATGGACAGAGAATATCCTCGAGCCCTCGCCCAAAGCCCAGCATTCTCACAAGCCCTCTGAAGCCCCACCCCCTTGCCGAAGATGAGGATAAGGCAGCTTGCGAGAAAGTCTGCCGCGAACCCCCGCCAAGCCACATGAAGAGTATCATCGAAGACCAAGGCATTCGTGAACCCGTCCATGTAGACAAGAGGAGGCGGGGATGGCAGACTCTGCATCGTGGAGCAAAACTCCTAGGTGTCAAGCATAGATAACATCTGGCTGCTGGACTGCGAACAACTGCGACAGAATCGGCTGCAGCATAGGCTCTGTCTGACTTTCGTCAGAAAAGCGCCATCCGGAGTCATCGTACACATTCAAGTAATGTGTTGACCCGGACACCAACAGAGTAGCTCCATCACGTGGGTCCTCCGTGCTCGCTAGCCTGAAGGATGCTGTGAGGCACAACAGTACTGTTCAGCAAATAAGTTTGCCAACGTCTTCTGCAGCAGAGCCGCTTGCAGATGTGACACATCCTGCAAGCAAAGCAATACACTAAAATAAAACT